ATATGGTCTATTTAGGATGTGGTTCATTGGTATTGGTTGTTGTTCTTGCAGGGAAGTTACTTGATGTCCAGTTATCGGCCGGTAGAACAGCTCCAGCAGCTTCTCATTTCTTCTCAAGGATTTGATTCTGAAGCAGTTCAAGCATTTTTCAAGCTTCACAAGGTAAAATTACACTTCACTTAGCAGCAGGGCTTAAAGTAGTAGCCAGATATCAGGCAATGTCTGGTCAGAACTGGGACCTGTCCTACCAAATCTTTGCCTTGCTGTTCATTTTGACCAGTAAAGTTGAGCCAGAAATGAGGGATGACTGAGATAAAACTAATTTAGCCTGTGATCATGACATGGCAACTGGTTGGTGATTATTTCAAGCCCTGAGGGGGTGAAAATATTTCTTTTGACAGGGATCTAATGATGTTTTCTTGTTTAGGAAAATCAAGCATGTGCTATTTGTCTAGTACTTGCTTGCTCGACACAGTCAACTAACCAACAGGTAAATGCAGAAAATCAGTACAAAATTACTAAAAGTAGACAGATATTTATGAACATTCTTTAGTATATATCCAATCGGCTTTTTGTATCAAACAGTCAATTGTTCATACATCGCCACAGAAATAAATCAATTCAGCCAAAGGTTCCTTAGGGAAGGTTCTGCTAGCTGACAAAAAAACTTGAAAATCTTGAAATAATAAGGTATATAAAGTTGAGGGGGAGAAAGATTTTTATAAAAAAGTTTTGGTTTTGATTATTATTGGTAAGGTAAGAAAAGTAAAACTTTTTTCATCATGTTTTTGATGTTTTTACTCCTCAAGGTATCAGAGTGGGCGACAAGGGCATTCTTTAAGTATGGTGGTGAATCTCAACACTCAATAACAGGAGCCATGGCAACAGATGGTGGAGTAGATCCCAGTTTCAATATGGGTAGTCCCTTGTCAGGGGGGGTACATGCTGGTAGTTACCTGGGGACACCAGCGACTAGACAAGGACAAAATGGGTAAGCAGGGATATTGATTATCTTGTGTTAGTTACCTTCTATCTTATTGATTCCTGGAACATCTTCTGGGCTGAGCAAAGTCAGTGCACAGCTAACTCACAGATAGACTTGAAGTTTAGTGTGTTGGGTTTTGCGAAAGTAGGAAAATGGAGAACCGGAGGAATAAAACCTATTGAACTCTACTCAGATGTGATGCAGAGTCAAGGAATTGACCAGAGAGGTTGGAGGGCTAGTGTATTACCACTACACAACCCTTGATTCCCTGTTCATTGAAGACTGGTGTTAATTCTAGTCAAACACACCAAGCAGTGATCCAACAAATATCCTGTACATTAGGTAGGTATCTTGACAATAAATAATGCTCATTTATGTTGTAGTACGCAGCCATTTGGACAGAGCTATTCAACATCAACTCCTCATCCAGGAATGACGGGAGGTGCCGTGTTTCAACCTGATTTCAACAAGTCTGCTAAGCATGATGGGATATGCCTTTACATTGCTAGGATACTTGGGTAGGTTCTTTAGGTCACATATTGGGAAGAGAGCCCTGGGTTTGAGGTACATCATTGACCCCCTGGAATACTTGAGCACTCCAGTGATGGGGCTTTTGAACTCTTTTGTTTTATCTACCTCAGTATTGACTTGTTTATTTTGTATTATAGAACATTGTGGGATGGTAAGCTTGTTTATGAAGAATTTGCTACCCAGCCTACATCTGGGAATACCAAGGTATGCGGCAGCTTAATAAGTAATGAATAGTAATGGGAATTAACAGTGGATTCATTCCACAAGCTGGGATTATTGTCTTCAACAGGTCAACTTCATAGAATTTTACTGCACCTTGAAACAACCTCTGGGCTTATCAAACTCACAGAACAGCTAACACACGGATTGAATTAGAGCTTTGGCATGTTAGGTTTTCTGAGGGAGGAAAATCAGAAAACAACCTTGAATCAAGGGAGAACTCTACTTATGTGATGCTGAATCAAGGAATTAAGCCTGGGACCCCAGAGGTACTCCATTCGTATTGTAATGGCTAATCTTTTTTCTCTTAGCCTCCAGTTATCTTCAAGAGTCGTTTCACTTGTGAGCAGCTTGCTTGGTTTTTAGACAAGATGAAGGAGCTACAATGTTGGATGGAAAACAACCTTCAGTTTGTTGCACCATACGTAGACAGCAGGTCAGGGATCTCTTGTTTTCTAATGGTTCAAGGGGAATAGACCTATCCCGAATTCGCTTGACTGACCACGAAACAATGGTTTGAAGTCAAGATTGAACTTGATTCTTTTATTCATCAAGTTCAACCTCGACTTGAAACCATTGTTTTGTGACCAGTCAAGCAAATTCGGGATAAGTCTATTAGCCTGTTTTATGTATACATTGTTATTTAATATTCTTTTCTTTGAATGTCTCTGATGAGATTTTCTTTTCTTTGCAGTTTTCCACACATGTCTATAATGGGAGATCAGTCCCTTCTCCAACAGTCTCACCAAGGTACAACAAACTGCTAATTTTTTTCAAAACGTTTTGAAATGTGTATATAGTGTTTTTGGGGGGGGGGATTCGATATGCGAGGAAAATGATAAAATTGTAAGATGCTATGCTAAAGAATTCTGATCAAAATCATCAGTAATCTCACCAGGTGTAGTTTGTATAATAGTTGTTATCATATAATTACATTACTTGTCTTTAATGTCAACAGAATCGTTTGTTGCTGAGAGAAAAGCACTGTCTAACTTGAAGAATCTGGTTGATAGAAGCTGTGAAGCAGTTGGGTTGTGGCAACTGTTATGTGAGCATGATATCTCTGCCGTTACATCTCGCATGGATACTGTGAGTATTGTGTATTATTAATAGAATAGGATCCTGGTCTATTTATACTGATGCTAGAATCTTGTCATTTTTTTGTTGAAGGCACCAAGAGATAGATTAAGACGCTTGAGGTTCAGAGACCTGGTCACTGCTGGACAAGAGGTAGGGTGGATTTCTGTGCGCTAGTGTTTGTAGCTAGTGTTTGTAACTGTTGACAATGGTAATGATGAAGATGATTTTTAGGTTGATGAAAATGATGGAGATGATGATGAAGATGATGACAATGGTAGTGGTGCTGATGATGCTGTCGATGATTATGATGATTATGATAATGATGATGATGATGACAGTGGAGTTGTTGGTGATGATGATGTTGGTAGTGATGATGATGATGATGACAGTGGAGGTAGTGATGATGATAATAATGGTAGTGTTGATGACTGATGATGATGATGATAATGATTATCATTATATTATTATCATTGACAGGTTTGCAGTGGTCTTATATCATCACTGATGAACTGTTTCCTGGATGATAGTAGCTCAACAGATGCAATCAGTGAGAGACTTCGAGAGATCAGTCCTAGTTTGTACAGTGATTCTGATGCTATATGCACAAAGGTAAACAGGTGCTGTCTTGTATATGTAGCTACAAGGGCGGACCCAGAAAAAGTTTTAGGGGGGGCTAATTGAGTTTAGGGGGGGGGGGCTAATTGAGTTTCTTCCGTCAACACAACAGAAAACAATATAAAAAAGCATTGTTTTTTTCTGCTGAAGGGGGGCTTCAGCCCCCCTTTCCCCCCCTGGATCTGCCATTGAGCTAGCACAAGCAAATGATGTTACAGTCGTTGATGTGCAGTTGCTGCATAATGTAGTTACTGTTGTATTAAATGTTATTATACAAATCATCTTATGACATCCAATCATAAAATGAATATTCATGGAGAAACTGTTATTCCAGGCTGGTGAACTTTTAACCTTAGCAAAGAAAACTACAAATAAATCAGAACAATCTAGACTCCTAAAGGAAGCATTACAGGTGGGTGTGTGTATCTATGGCATATATCATCAGCTGTCGTTAAGGAACATGTTACTAAGATGATTGTTACTTGTGTTCTTAGTTTCGAATGTTTTCTGATAATTTTAAACGGTTTTTGTAGTGTTATCGACAAGTCACTCACCAAGTCAATTTGGAACTTATCTGTTCCATATTTGAATCAGGTAAAGAAACTGTTATTGATTGGATTATGACCAGTGTCACCATCACCATCACCATCACCATCACCAACAGCATTAACACCATAATCATCACCATCTTTATGGCATTAACACCATTATCATCATCATCACCATCTTCATCATCATCATCAAGCTATCATGCATTCATGATAATCATCATCATCTTTTTCCATTCTAGTCCATTTCTTCGAGGGTGTAGTAGAATTGTGTCTTTATGCTGCTTTGAAGAAAGACCCACAAGGCTTAGCACTACACTTCTACAGGAATAGTGAAGCACCAGGAGATGTCCAGGGACAAGAAGCCATGATAGCAAGGTAAAAAAAATATCCTTATAGCATGGGTATTTTCTGAGTTTGATAGATATGATGCATTGTGGTCTAGCTTGGGTACAAATACCATTTAAGGCATTGAAAATAAAAGATGTTGGTACCCAAGCTAGACAACAATGCGCTGTGTTTGCTATTCCTAAGAAATCTGACTGTCCGTTTTTATGTAATAATATCTGTGTTTGTTCAGGAAATACTGCTACAAGTGTCTAACAGATTGCTTCCAGCGTCTGTTGGCTGTTCGCCTATCCCCACACCAGTCTCCTAGTCTGCCGTCACGGCCAGGTCCACCACCAGCACCAGACCCCAATGAACTCACACCAGAAGATGCTGATAGATATGTAAGAGCAACAGAAAAACCAGACTTAAAGCTTCCTAGCCTGTGTGCAGCTACCTTGCTGGCAGAAATCTCTTTCTGCCCTCCATTCTGACTTTAGGTCTCCCCCACTTGCTGCTCAGCCCTACAGAGGGGAAAAAACAACCGCGAGTAGGGTGTAGACAGACCAGAGTTAAAGTGAAGCAGCAAGTAGGCTTGATATCCTGAAAGAGCAACAACAGTACTTCTTATTTATGCATGCTATTTGTTTTTATTGACCAAAAAATCTTCCATTATTTTCATTTCTCTAGTTGGAACACACTCTTTCTTTATCCCTGTCATCATCAGATGAGTTATGGCATCTTTGCTTGTATCAGTGGCTGATTGACAATGCTCTGACTGAGAGACTCCTCGAGGTACGAATCTATTGCTTGTTTTATTCTTATTCTATGGAAATAATGGGCATTACTAATAGCAGTGGTTAATGCTAGTACTTCCCATTAACTAGAGGTGAATTCTCTTTGACTTACTCATCGAGGATCATGATGTACTGAGGGGGGAGGGGGTGGGGTTATGGTGTACTGATGGGGGAGGGGGTGGGAATTATGGTGCAGTGATGGGGGAGGGGTATGGTGGGGGGGGGGTATGGTGCAATGATGGAGAGGCGGTGGGGTTATCGTGCACACTGTCAGCTTCCTAGTAAACGATAAAATAACCGAGTCCATGATAGAAGTGGAGTGAATGACGTTGCAGAAGCTAATCTAATGTTCTACCAGTGACCTACAGGGATTCCTTTCGTTGTTTTATTTCAGATCAAGTCTTCGTATTTAGAGACGTATCTGAAACAATCTGCAGCAAATCAGGTATGTGTAGCCTACATTGCCTTGATATTCACCCAGTAACCCACGCAGTCCTAATCAAGTTTGTGTCGCTAACTCCACAGCATCCAAACGAGCAGAAGATTCTTGATTTGTTGTGGAGATACTACGAGAAAACCAAGAACTACTCTGCTGCCGCTAGGGTGTTGTCCAAACTGGCCGAAAAAGAAGGGTTAGTACTATGCACTTTTATTTCGTGGAATACATATTTCTAATATCCTCAAACCAGAGTCGCATAGCTTTTGTGTAACTTGAAGCGCGCGGCCACGGGCCACGTTTGTTGAACCACTAGCTGCACACGAGATAATTGCCCATTCAATCATCAAAAGCATTTTTAATTACCCCCATTCAAAGAACTTGGAACATTAAGGGGGGATATTAAACAAGTGAAGGATACTGACAGCATGAAATAACCTAAAACACAGCACTGTCAAGATCACTGTTTAGCCAGCGTAGCAGCACACGATTAATGAGGTCCGCAGGCTAGTCACTGTACAGTATACCAGTCTGTAACAAACGTTTTCCACTGTCGTGCAAACTCTGCTATAATGTTAGAAGGTACTTTATAAGGCTTACACCAGTATAGCCAAAATGCAGTCAAGTCTCCCTTAACACATGTTCGCTGTAAAACGTTATATAATAATGTTGGAAGGGTTTTTTAAACGTAATGTATTAAGGAATGTGACGTTTCTCCCTCACACAGACCAGGGATAAATCTTGAACAGCGTCTGGAGTATCTGTCTCGTGCCATCATGAGTGCCAAGAGTAGTAACCTAAGGACAAGCACGAGCTCAGAGGGAGAGTTTCTTCATGAACTGGAGGAAAAACTAGAGGTGAGTGATATGTTATAAGTGACAGCCAGTGAGTGTATTCGGGTATTGGTCATTTTAGGATGTCATTTCTCCCCTTCCATCTCTCTCCTCTCTTTTCCATTCGTCCCATCTTCTTTCCTCCCTCTCCTATTCTCTCTCTCTCTTCTGACTTTTCTTCCTTTTCTCTCCCTTTTTCTCCCTTTCTTCTCCCTTTCTTCTCCACTTCTTCACCTTTCCCCCATTCTTCCCACTTCCCTCCCTTCTTTCCTTTCATTACTCTCTTAACCGTGTTGTACTTTTTCATTTCAGGTTGCGCGCATTCAGCTTCAAGTCTACCACACGCTGTCCCGCATGAATAAATCCCGTCAGACAAGAAACATCGAGGAAGCCTTGGTAGAACTGAATGGGCGACTCATGGACGTAACCACGGTATGACATATAGACCCTAAATCCTCAAATCACAGTTCAGCTTTATACATATCTCGTACCCAGACCTAAAACATGCCTTAAATATCCCGACCAAAAGCGACCGTGATAATTTGCTAGCCTGGGTACGAGTGTTTGTGACACTATTCTGATTGTCATCAAAGGAAGATTAATATATTCAACTTAAATTCTTTTGTATTTGTATTTAAGTTGTACGGAGATTTTGCCGATGTTTTTATGTTAGCTGAGTGTAAACTAGCAATCGTTCATTGTGCTGGACATTACGACCCGACGCTTATCGAGACATTGTGGCGGGAAATCATCGACAAAGGTAAGAAACTCTTGCGTGACTAAAATTGAGCAGAGCATGACATGACCGTGACGATACCGTGTCACACGTAATTGATTGATCGAAGGATGTCACATACTTCATTTCTGACCCGTTGCCGTGCCTTTCGTTATTCAAATTGTGTTATTTGATTTCCTGTTGTGACGGCGTGAGCTAGGCGTGACTGTGTCTTGTCGTATCACAGTCATACAAAACCTCAATATTTGATCTTTCTTTACTTCTTATTTTATTTTTACTGTTTGTTTCAGAGTTGCGTGACTCGGCTCATTGTTCTCCCAGTGACCGTATCACCATCATTAGCAAGAAGATAGTAACGTTAGGAAAAACATATGTGCATTCTGAAAGATACTTCCCTCTAGGTTAGTATGATGGATATGGTATCTCTGTCTCTCTCTAATAACTGAATCAAATATTCCATGCACCACTGTTTTTAATACCTGTTTTCTATCCTCATAACCCCAAATGAGGCGTCACTGAACTAACCAATCACATTCATTTCTGATGTTGTACAGGTGCAATAATTCTAATGCTGGAAAAGAAGAGTGCCGAGCTGGACTGGGACCCAACATGGGTGTTTATGTCGATGCTTGAGATTGGAATTCCGTTCCCAGTCCTTCACGGCGTCTATGATAGACTCTTCAAAGCAAAGGTGCGTCTAAAACCTCGTTCTACCCCTCCCCTCTTCCCCGGCCACACACAACAGGGGGTGTTTATACATGTTTGTTGTTGATCTCTTGTATTTACTTGACAGGACCCTTGTTGGCAAGCCATAGACAAACCTTTGCATATCTTAGACGTCTTGTATCATTTGCTATCACGATTCGTCGAGTTACCGTCATTAATAGCGCCTTACGACAGGTAAAGACAATGATATCTGAACCTTGCTGACTAGCGAGGTGAGGGTCACCAGGAAATGAGAGAGGGACGAAATAAGAGATGCAGGGAAGTCTGATGAATGTGCCCTCTACCTCTTCCCCTTCCTTACACCACCCCTCGACTTTTCTCTCCCTTTTCCCGCATTTTTTCTCGTTTTCTCTTTTACTCCTTTTCAATCCCTCCTTCAAGATCATAAGCATAGCAGTCTGTAATGCTTTATGCTTTTCTTTTTAGACCGGCATTTACGACAGCTTTACACGACGCATGCGCAACCTACTTGGTGGAACTGGAGTCCATCTGCTCACGTGACCGTACTGTTCAAACTACCCTGGCAAAGTTTAAGGCCCTACAGTCTCGTCTCAAGCGAATGCTTTGAAATCCACTCTCTTGAAGTTAGTTTCAGCGAGTAAGGCTTCTTGTGTTGCAATGTTTCCGAATGAAGGACTTGACGTTCTTTCTAGCAACATCTACAAAGACAAGCGTGATTTAAGTCTACAGTATACTTCTAAATAACAGTTGCTAGAGTGGGGGAAATGTGTACGAAAAGTGTTTAGTTCATGTAATTTGGCCATTCTATGAAAGAAAACCATTTCTTGTCATTAAGCTTTGGCAAGCCATTCATGTGCAGTTTTTCGCAACCTGGAAACCATTCCAATGCCTATTGGAAGCTATGTTAATGCTATCATTGATGGACGCAATAGAAACCCATTCCAGTGCTCTATCATTTGATGATAGCTTCTAATTGCATGTTACTTACTGCATGTGTCATGTAGTCACTATATCGGAAGCCATTTATATGTCGGCCATGCTAAAATACACAAGATACCATATCGCTGTCCATGGAAGCCATTTCAGTGCAAATTTCCCGCTTATTCAAAACCACTCTACTTGTCAGTAGCTTCTATTTTTCTAAGAAACTTTGATTCAATTCTATACAACATTAACCAATCACAAACCAGGACTGATTGTAACATCGGTACTGGCTTATGCATTTTTAGAACCGACATGTTGTAATGCGAAAGGAAATATAACTAAGAAACAAATATCGACTGACCACACAAATAATTCAGGGTTCTAATTTTGTTAAGATTTTTTTTCTCGCAGACAAAATCCATTTTTCGCAACATTTAATGATATATTGAAGTTGATTTTAAAATACTTGTTTCCAATAAAATTCTTAGTAAATAGTCTTTACGTTTTTTCCAGCATTGTGCTAGTTTAAGGGATTACAGTTAAAAAACGTAAGATTCGTTATATTGAAGAACGTTGTGCATCTGCAATCAGCCGAGTCCTATGAATGTTTAAAACCTTCATTCTATGCAACGAAACAAAAGCCGTTTTCGTAATTAACAAGCTCACCAGACCATGTTGGAATATTAATGATTTCACACAGATTACTATACACTTTCCAACATTTTTGACTTCAAACCGTCTTGTTGTGACCACTTCTGTGCCAAGATGCTTTTTTGAGGAGTTCAGCCTTGCTTCAAAAAGTTTTAAAACCAAGAATGAGTGAAGAGAGTTTCTGGTCGTATGATGTCTTTGGATGTTCTTCGAAGCTTAGCATGACAAAATATCATTCAACGTGACTTCAACAAAGTCAAAATGGTTGGAATATTAGGAGTAATTGCCACGTTTATCTTAGTTGTAATATTTTCCGTGCTTTACTATAAATTGTTCAAGTATTGTATCAGAACAAGACTAGAGGCGATCAAAATCCCCGAAGAAGAAATAATCAAGATACGGTACGAATCACAGAAGCGAAGGCTTTATAAACAGGCTAAGGACGTGGAACTTGTATACATTGAACGTCAATGAGCTGGATGGGATAGTGCTTACACAGTTATCAGACCTTTGCCGAGGATGAAAAAAAAGAAATCGAAGATTTTTAAAATAAAGCTGGACCATTCTCTATAACAAGTTGCACCGACTGTACATCAGATGCAAGACTCTCTCTAGGTCACAAAGTTGCTTTTCTGTCGGAAATTAAACTATTTTCTAGAATTCGGTTACCAAACTTATCCTTGTAAATATAGATGAGAAACAGCTGAAACTATGACACAGGAAACCCAACCAAACATTTTGAATTATTTGTTATATTAATTGCGAGATGGATGTTTTCTCTATTTGGAAATTCAAAGGATACCTATTCATCAGTCCTCAAAGTTATCATATACTTAGTAAGTACGAGTTCATAATTTTTTTAACGATGACTTACGATGGTTCACTCAAGTCACAAAACCACAGGAAGCCCGCTCATATCCTTTCTAACGTTTTGGACGTGTATGAGGGTTACAGGGTTTGTACGGGTTTTGGAAAGTTTTGGAAATCAATAATGCATTTTTCCAGGACCTGGAACCCGGTTATGATGTATTTAACGACGATACTTTGGAAACATGAGTTAGTTTTTCATGGAAGAGCCTGGATCTAGGCTTGGGGCTGCACGGACGGACGATCAAGAATAGATGTTAAAGCTGTTGAGGCACTGGACCAGAACTGACCAAAATATCGAAAAACCTGATTATCCTAGACAAGATGGCCTTGGGCGAGCTCCTAATATCCTGTCTTACTTTAGCTGGAATAGTGCTTATAAATACACAACTTTTGTGTTGCGTGTTCAAGTTGGACCATATCGAAAAAACCGTGAAGTCACGCCGAAAAACACGGAATAGGAGAAAGACAAAGTCAAACACCTCGTCTTCTTCTAGTGAAGTCTTCAACAATTTTAATACTGCTGAATACTGAAGATAACAGAAAAATTTTTGAACTACTTTTTTTGTTTTAATTGGAGTTTAATCTCAGGCGAAAGGAAATGGTTCCTGAATTGGAAATAACAATACTATAGCGTGCTAATCCTCAACGAGTCAAGACAATGGCCTGTTATCTTTCTCTAGCGAAGTCTTAGTTCTATAAGTTCATTTAAGGAGCAGTAGAAAAATACATTTTTTTCGAGTTAACAGGTTTTTTTTGTAAAACTAAGAGAGCATATTTGTTATCCAGTACAGGCTATTGGAGACCGTTCATAAAACTCAGAGACGATTTGAATATAGTTAATATTAACTATGATTTGAACAGCAAAAACAATAGTTTTTTTGGATGACATCGATTTGTTTTAACTTAATAAAGATTTTTGCCAGAGTAAAAGAAATATCTTTTTAGGCCAATATAAGACAAGAGAACAGTTTGTTGCGGACTTGTTTAGTTTTATTCCTAGAAATGCAAAAAAAAAAAAAAAGTTAAAATGCGACGTTTATCGAACATAAGGACAGCTTGAAGTAATAGATCAAGCACGGAAAAAAATGCTTCATTCGATAGTTAAAACACTCTTCTGTGCTTGATATATAACTTCTCAAACTCATTAATGATTCTTAGTGAAATTTAAAGCATAAGCTGCATATACTAAACAGTGAAGGACTTCGTTATGACGCCTCGCTAAATGTCGAACGTTTGATGGAGCTAAAGGTCTCTAATGGCGGGAAATATCGCGCGCGCGCAAAGAGAAGGCACGACAACGGTACTAATACTGATATCCATACTTACTTTGCATTTATTATAGATCATAGTCATTTGGGTGATATAATTCACTCAGCAACCGGTACACGTAGGACGGGGAATTTCCTCCTCTGAAAATCACAAACACTGAGCGTTAGCTGTAGTAGAGTGATGGTGATGAAGTGATGGTGATAGCGAGGTTTTAGAGGGGTGAGACGAGTGGAAGGTTATTGTAACGCTAGTACATTGAATGCGCGCGTGGTGCAATAAAGCAGACAATAAGTGTACACTGTACGCATTGATCTGGGCTCGGAAAGTTCGGAAAATTTCATTCCATCCAACACGGCCTTTTACCCTCTTTTCTTCCCGTGATGCATTGGGGGCGGTGATCATTACTGATTTTCAAGGCTGTTGAAGACAGCTGATGGCATAATAACGATACTGATCTGCATGTAATGCTATCTGCTGTACTTACATATTAGAGAGAAACAAGTTCACCAAGTCTGGTGAGATGTAATCAAAGACTGGATTCTGCACGTCAACCTTGGATAGTATTTTTCCTACAAAATGACAATAAATAGCCATGAGTATATTTGGAAACGATGTTAAACAAGCCTGGCTTTTCCTCTCGATCATGCGCATCCATAGAGCTGGTTAGCTGTAGCAAACCTAGGAGTAATTATCAATATCTATTAGCTATTGATTGGTTTATCAACGTACCTTCAGAGAACTGCAAGACGTCGTGAGGTGCTACAAATTTATTACAACTGTCCTGAAAATGAAAGAAAATTTTAATCAATTTCTTAGTTGTCTACCAACCCGTGATGGCAGTCATGACACGAGGCTCGATAACAGTCTTTTCCCCTTGGGAAACTGAATTTATTCCCCTGTAAACCAGATTAGACTAGATTCAAAGTTCCTGCCTCCTGTCATGGCTGCCATCATGTGATTTATTCACCCGGGGGGGTACTACCACCCCAACTTGGGTAGGGGTGTGCCGCCAGGTTCTCAAAACCCTGACCCTATCCCAGACCCAAAATTTTGATTTTACATACCCTACCCCAGACTAAAACTAAGAATTGTACACCCTATCACAGACTAAAAGACGGAAAAGACGGTTTTTCAACAGATTGCAATCAATATTTACTAAC